GCTGTAGAAGCCTAAACAGCCAGTTTAGTCCTGTGAGACACTTGTCTCTCCCTAACTGTGTCTGTAGTTCCTAGGGTTTGTAGTTTCTGGGTTAACAAGGAAAACAGTGAATGACACAGGGAGTCTCACTCAGAAGAAATCCACTTTCTTCATGGGACTCCTGTGCAGAACTCTGGACTTAGCTTCCTCTGGACTTTGAAAGCCACTCAAGGTGCTGGGGAAGCTGTCTTCTAAAATTCCCAGTTCGCTTGGCTTGTACAATAAGGACACCCTTGCGTTTGGAATGTCAGGGCCAAGTTTATAAAACCTAGAGATAGAATTCTGGAAACAAGATCACACGGATCTCTCAGACAGAGGCCAGAGAACAGAAGTAAACGTAGAATACTTCTGCAGAGCAGGTAACACCCGCCGCCCCCCATTCCATTCGCATGACAGCTGCTTAATCGTGGGGGCTCACGGGAGCTCGGGGCCGCCCTCTGGGCACTTCCAAAGGGGCCCCGCAGATGACATTGACTATTTCTGTTCTGCAGACTTCAAGTCAGGTTTCTTCCCTGTACCTTTCCGTTGTGCTAAGGCCTATCTTGATAGGAAACTTCTGCCTCACTAGGGTACCTTATGTCGTGGAGTTAATGCAGCACGAGAAAGCAAAGGCACCCTTAGCAAGAGCTGTGCGCTACCCCTGGCGTGGTGCTCACCATGTAACCCTCGGCCATCTCTTAGTGCTTGGGACAGGACCAAGTGTTCACAGCCCTCGGTACTTGGATTTCATCTTCATTTTGATTCTGTTTGCAGCCCTTTTGCCTAAGGAAATTAGCCGTGATGAGTGTCTGGTGAGCTCTATCTTGGCAACATTTGGATATTTTTAAAAAAACAACACCCTTCTTCAGTGTTTCCCCCCAGATTTTGATCTATAATTTTAACTCAGTTTTTTCGGTCATCAGAATTACACTGCTTTGTTCGCGTGAAGTATTTCATTGGTTTCTTGTGTATTTTCATCATTAAATATACTTGGGTTATAACTCAACCCTTTGTGCAAAAGCTGGCCTTTCATATCATGAATAATTCATAAGCACCATAGAATTACTGTAGATCTTTTAAACCAAATATCTTGACTCTTAGTATATTCAGTGTCATTTCAGCTTCTAGTTTGCATGGGGGAAATATAATTCCGTAGCTAGCCTCGCTGTCTCAAGGGAAATTGAAAAAAAAATGCTCCCCATTTCTTACTACTTTTATTTTTTTATTTTATTTTTAAATTTTTTTTTGGTTTTTCTCCGGTACCAGGAACCAAACTCACGACCTTGCGCTTGCCAGGCAAGCGCTTTGCCGCTGAGCTAAATCCCCAGCCCCTCTTACTACTTTTAAAAGTTCAAAATGCTTGGAAAACCTAGAATGTGGAAATGCTGCATATCAGAATTAGTAAAAGCATGCCACGTAAGTGGCCTTGTAGACTGGTGCACACCGCAGGAATCAGACAAGGAAACTGCCCGTCGAAGTTCATCGTAGACGCCTCCTAAGTATAGCAGGGCATGTCCAGAAGATACCTGGCAAGACACCCAATAGCGCACTAAGCGAAGGCTCCTCCCAGCCTGTTCGGAAATGAAGGCTTTCACTGGGTGCAGACTGACAGCACCCACCTGGTGCCTGGGGTTTGGAAACGGGTCCCGATGCTTTTGTGAGCTTGACATGTCTTCTCCCAGGATGCCACATTTCAGTGCCTGTGGAGTGAAATACGCATCTGGGAATAAGGAAAACTTGGTAGGCATTTTGCAACACTTCAAGTCAAGCGGTAGTTGTAGTTATAGTTCCTTCTTTTTATTCTCCCTCTGTTTCTATCTTCAAGTTGTAAGAGAAGGGAATTTTGTAGGAAAAAGATAGGCTTTTTTCTCTGCTGGATTTCATGTATTTATCCAGTCCCATTGGGAATCAATGCTCACGAAATAAGGCAGCTTTCTTCATCCGCTTCCTTCTAGAATCTGTCTTCTTTTGGAGTAGTAGGATGTTTTTAAGCACTGGTGCGTCTCAGAGAAATGAGCCTGTTTCCTTGATGAGTTTGTGTTTCATAAAGTACAGTGTTATTGAAAGATACAGTAATTCGTCAGCCCCTCTGATGTGTGCAGAACTGCTACGGAGGACCATAATGGGTTGTGAGGAGCAACTGGAATGAAAGAGAGCTTTGTTCGTTTGTGACTAGAATTTCTAAATTAGCTCCAAATGAATCATTCTCCATACTTCAGTGCAGCTGATATCACTGCAAATGCGTTAATGTTGAGACCGATCGCTGCATTTCACAATTGTCTTTTGCTTCTGTTTGTCATTGTGATGTCATAGATGATACATTGCGATTTTTTTAAATCAAGTAAGTTTTAACCAAGTCCTCTGGCCTGCTTAGGGAAATAGCACCCCCGAAGGACAGGGTTTCAAGGCCCTTTCATTTTTAGGGCAGTGCATGTCAGACTTTTCGTGTACATATGATTCCCCTGTGGATTCCTTTTAAACTCGGGATTCTGAATTCTTTGTCAAGGGCAAAGACCAAGACTGCTTTTCTAACAATCGCCTGTACTGCTACAAACTGCAGGCCAAATTTTAATGGCAAGACTCTAGATATATTTACATAAAACTCCCAGATTTAGTGATTTGAAATCAGAGAGTGAAGGATAGGTTGGCATTTGGTATTGCAAAGGAAAAGTCAGGGACTGAACCTGAACCTCCACACAGGCCTGGAGGTTCCCACCCTAGTGAGTGCACCTAGGTGCAAAGGCTGCATCCCTTGTGCGCCCTCTGCTAGTATTTTAGAAGCAGATTAATGAACAGCCTATATTTGGCTTTCTGGAGGATGAAAGTATTTTACTGTGTTCCAGTCTTAATGTGCCCGGAGCCGAGCGTATTCCCTGGCACCAAGCCAATTAATGAATCAAATTGCGTCAAATTGAATTCATTCAGCTCCATTAGAACAACATGGAGATGACCTGGTTTTGTCCATTTAAAACCACTTGTTTTCTCTTTAAAGGATTTATATATCTTTTATGTTCAAATTTAAAATTCTGTCAGTAATTTACAACTAATTTCCAAAGCTATGTACTCCTTTTAAACCATATTTGCTTAAAATGCAATGTGAAAAAATATAAATACAAATTAAAAGTAATGGAAACTCAAGAAATCTCAAAGCCGTTTTATTTCTTGGAATGCTAAACAAAATGCTATTTACAATAAAAGGACTTCAGTAATTATTTCTCATGCAAGGATTTTATTCTGAGGACCAGAGAGAAAGCATTCCAGGACCATTTTGACAGTCAAACCTATTCGTCTATGTTTGAGAGAGTATGGATTATTCTTGAGTCTTCACTAAAATATACAAACCCAAAAGATTTCAGTTATATATTTGCAGGCTAGAAGGATTTGAGTTACCGTAACAATCGCATTATTGCGTAAATGAAATGAATACTCTTTTTGAGTATTTGCTTTGCTTTTAAAATTTTTAACAGCGTTTTTCAGATATAATCCTCGTACCATGCAGTTCACCCGTTAAAAGTTTGTGGTTAGCTTAGCGTTCAGTATGGCCACAGAGTTGTCTACCATCACTGTTATCAATTTGAGAACATCTTCATTCCCCCAAAAAGAAATCCTACACACTTTTCCATAACCTCCTCCCCATTCCCCCATTCCCTCCCAGCCTACACAGCCACTAATCTACTTGTTTGTCGCTATGGAGTTGCCTGTTCTGTACATTTCATATAAATGAACTCATATAGTATATGATCGTTTATAATGGGCTTCTTGCCCATAGCGTGAAGTTTTCAAAGTACTTCATTCCTTTTGTGGCTGAATAATTTTCTGTTGCACGGTTATACCACATTTTTATTTAGCTGTTCACTTGCTGGTAGACAATTAGATTGTTTTACCTTTCGAGCTATTATGAGTAAAGCTGCTATGAACACTCACGTACAAGTGGTTGTATCAGAAATGCTCTCATTTCTCTCAGGTATATACCTATGTTATGGTTTGTGTCTGGGTGTCCCCCCAAAGCCTCATGCAGTCTTGGGCAGGCTTTTGGAGTTTGATTGATTATGGGTGTGAGAGCTGCACCTGCCCTGGGGTGGATAGTTTGCATATGTAAGGGAGAGGAAGAGGCTGCTTGCGGCCATTCCTCCCTTGTGTGCTTGTTGCTTTGCTGTGTTCTGCCGCCATGAGTTGTAGCTCTCTGCCATGTGCCACTCTGCCTTGTAACCTGCCAAGTATGGACTGAAACCTGCACAAACTATAAGTGAAATAAACCTTTCCTTCCCTAATTTTGGGCGTCAAGTATTTTGTCCCAGCAATGAGAGAAAAAGTAACCAAGACACCTAGAAGTAGGTTTCCTGAGTCATGGGTAACAGCATGTGTAACCTTTGGGGAACTACCAGACTTTTCCAAAGAGATTGTAACCATTGTACACCCCCCACCAGCAGTGTGCGAGGGTTCCAGTTTCTCCGTATTCTCTCCAATACGTGTTATTACCTCTATTTTTGACTGCAGCCATCCTAACGAGTGCAGAGTGGTATTATTGCAAGTTTCATTTGCTTTTCCCTGATGACTACTCATGCTGAGCATCTTTTCATGTGCTTGTGGTTCACTGACATTTTCTTCTTTGGATAAATGTCTGTGCAGAGCCATTGCTGCCTATTTAATTGGGCCGTTTGTCTTTGTATCGTTGACTTAAGAAGAGTTCTTCATCTGCTCTGAATACCAGTTCCTTGTCAGATATATGATTTGAAAAAGGCAGTTTCATTCTGTAGGCTGTCTTGAACTTCTAAAGTTAACAGTTTTGATTAAAGCAAATATATTTGGGTTTTTTCACCCTTTGGTTGCCTGTGCTTTTGATGTCACATCCAAGAAGCCAGTGTCTAATCCAGTGTCCTAAGGTTTACCAGCTTTCTTCTTAAGAGTTTTAAAGGGCTCACATTTCGGTCTTTGCTCAGTTTTCAGCTAACGTTTTATATCGTGCTCTTCTGTTTTTTAAGTGCTGTGATCTTGGCTACCACGCCAGCCTGAACAGAGCCCTAAGGACGTATCTCTCTGCGGAGTATAACCTCGAAACCTCCAGACATGAAGGTTTGGACATTATTGAGAATGCAGTTGACAATTTAGAACCGAGAAGTGACAAGCAGAGGTTCATGGAGATGTACCCTGCTGCATTCTGTCCACCGATGAAATTTGAATTTCAGTCCCACATGGGTGATGAGGTCAGTAACTGACGATTTTTAAATTAACGAATTGTCTCTTGGTCTATATTTCTTCTCACTAGTTGTAACTGAACAGGTTTAAGAATTCTCAGTTGTTTTCTTTCTCCTACTCTTGTACAGACCCTCAGCATGATACTACGCTAAAATCGCCACTACCACCTCTTAAAACAAGGATCGAACACACTGAGATGGCAAACAGATAAAAGTGCTCGTTTGGCTGAGCCATCCCAGAATAATTGGCAAGATCTTCTCCCTCAAAATATTTAAATTTGAATTTAAAAAAAAAAATTTTGGTGACCCAACAGAGTCCTTCTGAAGACCCTTTATAACCTTTGTTTGAAGATCGCTGTAATGAAAAATGTTGTAAGTGGCAAGAGAATAGCAGGCAAAGTGCAGAATACATTCTAAGGCTCAGTTTGGCTCCAAACTGGCAAAATAAGCATCAGAAATTATATATTGTGTTTTATATTCTTTATAGGAATTAGCACTCCATTCTCTTTTATAAAAACAAATAACATTTGAGATAACTATGAATTATAGTTGTTTATACTATTGTCTATGGGCAGCGGAAAAGAAGAAAAACCAAATAATGGAGCATTTCTATAGCACCTGATGTCCGTGCTATGACAAAAAAGAAAAAGCTCAGTTTTAGCTTATTGGGATGAAGGTCTATTATTAAAAGTAGATAAAATTATAATATTCATGAAAGATTAATGTTACATTTTTTCTGAAACCCAAAGTATGGAGACATGTATGATGTGTGTGTTAGCTCTGTTTCTATTCATTTTTGTTTGATAAATTACTTGAAACAGTAAGTACAGATCACATATCCCGAGCCCAAAACCGGAAATGCTCCAAAATCTGAAAATTTTGTATTTAGGATTTGTAGAATAGTTGCACTTAACCGATAAGGACTATGTAAATATTCCCAAATACAAAGAACTTCAAAATCTTAAATACTTCTGGTCCCACGCAGCTTCAGGAGGCACTGCTCTGTCTCACTGCTTGAGACAAAGGAGAAGCAATCTGTAGTTTTTATGTCAGTGATGCATGAATTTCAACAAACCAAGCAGCTTCTTCTACCCAGCGTTATCCCTCCAAAACCAGATGGTTGATGTTTTGATTTTTGCATGTGGATGTTAAACACAGAATGATAAAATATCACAGGCAAATGACTTTAGTTGCGTGTTAATGGTTATCACTATTATCATTATTATTATAATTATTATGATCAGCGTGTTAATGGTTATCACTATTATCATTATCATTATTATTATTATTATTATGATCATCATCATCATCATTTTTTTTTTTCCGGTACCAGGAATCGAACTCATGACCTTGCACTTGCCAGGCAGGCACTGTGCCACTGAGCTAAATCCCCAGCCCCATCATCATCATTTTAATGAAACATATCTGTGATCCTTATGGCCAGTTTTGTGAGGGAATGGCAATCTCTATGATGCTTTGGAACCACTCTAACAGGAAGCAAGACCATTTCTATGCCAAGGAAAATGAGAAGTTGTTTGTGCAATTTGGAAAATGCTTTACTCTTCTCCCTAGTTGAAATCATGGCCCACACATCTTCTACCAAAGCCTAATTTCAATGGCCCCCTTTTTTGTTGTCCAGTTTTTCTTTTTTATTAGTACATGTTTGTTGTACATGTGACCGCATCCTCCTGGGGAGCTGGTACGTGTCCCTCTTGGAACTGATGTTGAATCATACCGTTCGGCTGATACTGGCTAGTGAAACCGTGGCTGAAAATCGCTAACAGTAGTCCTTTGCATTTTCTGAGTTTCTGTGTGCCAGATGTGCTCTCAGTGCTTGGTGTGTATCGTTCCACTTCATTCTCACAACAACCTTATACAGTAGGAAATCTTAACCCCATCTTACAGAAGAGGAAACCGAGGTTTTGTAGCTTATCATAGCCACCTGGCTTGTAGGTGGCAGAGCTGGAATCAAAGCACAGCTGGCTGAATCTAGAGCCCACACCCTATCCAGGAAGCCCTGCTGCCTCTCTCCTTCCGCCTGTGTAGTAGTCCTCTTGGACCATCCCTTGCCCTCTGCCCTCTGCCCAGATGTTGTTGACATGCCACCCAGATGACTCTGAAGTCCCAGGAGCTGCCTGGTCTCAGAGCAGTGCCTCCTGAAGCTGCTGTCTTTCCGTAGCCAGCCTAAGCAGCTGCGTTCTGTGCTTGCCACTTAAGTCCGCATCTCCATTGAAAACCGAGGTTCTGAGGCGGCTGCTATAAGCCCAGGTGTATGGGAATCTTAGGACCAGCGTGACTCGTGCCGCGTGGACAGAGGAGACCTGTGGCTCAGCGGCTGGTTGGCTCAGCCCGGTTGTACCTGCAGTTCTTTCTGATTTTCCAACAGGTGTGTCAGGTCAGCGCCCAGCAGCCAGTCCAGGCGGAGCTCATGCTCAGGTACCAACAGCTGCAGTCCCGGCTGGCCACACTCAAAATCGAGAACGAGGAGGTGAGCACGCTTTCTGCCCCACCAGTGACCGAACTCCGATGTAAACTGGAAGATGTTCTGATACTCCCGAAGCGTAGTTACTGTTCTAAATGCAGTCACTCCATCATCCACTTCCAGCTGTCAGGGTTCCTGCAACATACTCTGTAGGCAGTAAATGCAGAGTCTGCATTCTTCTAGCAAGTAGTGCTTCCACAGAGATTTACAATTATTTTCTTATTTTGTGTTTTCTACTAAAATAGGTCATGGGTTATTTAATTCAACAAATACATCAAGAAATGTATAGTCATGTAGAATGCATCTTCTGGCTGACAATTTTTTTTTTTTTAAGGATCATTATATGAGTTTATATGATGAGTAACATGAAATATCTGTAAAAATCTATAGGTACAATTATAGAAGTAATAACAGAGGTTAGCAACATTACTAGAAACAAGATCAATATACAAAACCGTCAGTAAGAAAATCTGGAAAATTTAGTAATATATTCATAATAGCAATAGAAACAAAACCTCATGAGCTCCAGAAATACATATGTGATATATTTGTGTGTGTGTGTGTGTGTGTGTGTGTGTGTGTGATATTGGGGACTAATCCAGAGATTTCATACTGAACTACATTTCTATCTCTTTATTTTTTAAAATTTTGAGACAAAGTCTTCTAAATTGCTAAGTTGCCCAGGCAACTCTCTAACTTGGGGTCCTCCTGCCTCAGACTCGGGAGTATCTGGAATTACAGTTGTGTGCCACTGCACCCAACATAGACTTTTATATTAAAAAATAAAAGCAGTTTATTAAAAGACATATGGGGGCTGGGGATTTAGCCCAGCAGCACAGTGCCTACCTTGCAAGCTCAAGGTCATGAGTTCAATTCCTGGTACTGGAAAAACAAAACAAAACAAAACAAAAAAGACATAAAACAAGATCTCAACAGTTGGAGATAGAGAGTTGGAAATAAAATGAAATATTCATGGATGGAAAGACAATATAAAAAGTATCATTTTCATCCAAATTAAATTCAAATAAATTCATTTTCAATAAAATTCCCAAGACAATTTTTGACAGAACTTGTCAAAATAGATGTAAATATTTATTTGTTTATTTATTTTTTAAATTTTAAAGAGTAAAACAAGGATAACATAATAA